TTACGAGACTATTGCAAAGGCCTTGAAGGACTTATTTCTTCGGGTTTTTTATTATGTGGTGTGAAGCTGTGTCAAGTCATGTCAAATCTTGTCAAGTTATGTTAATTTATGTTGAGTTACATAACCTTAGTGGCCCTTTAATAGAACGCTTGTCAATTTTTTAATGAACTGATTTTCACACAAGTAAGTCATATTTCATCAGCGGAAAATGTGACACAAGGAATTAACATTTTGACACTTATTGTGACGAAATGCTGTGAAAAATGCGAAAAAGCCACTAAAGAAAATGAACAACCCGCGTGGCATTATGTAAATTATGTGTAAGATATTTCATCCGTTTTTCGGTCGTTTGCTTGGGTAAGCAAGATTTAGTTCATATAAGAATTAAAACTGCATGGAATATTGCTCGTGTTCAAATAGACATCTCAGTCGTTCGCTGCGCTCACTCGCGTGCTATCGAGTTGAACACTCAGAGAGAAGTTCTGTATTGATCTCTATTTCTGTTCTGCTCTTGAAAGAATAAGCTACTTTCTTTGTTTTGCCGTATTTTTTCAAAATTTGGAGCATCCTTTTGTAGCATCCTTTTGTAGCTTCAACTCCACTTGATATAACAAACAAGACATATTCTGCCCTCAAGAACAGGTTATTTATCTCCTTTTGACATTTTAAACGTAGTAGAATTTTGAGGTCCCCACTCAACTAAAAAAAAACCTTCCGCGAAGAAAGATAACACCCAAATTCCCTACGTTTGCAAGTTCCTATGTTTGTCTGTCGTGTGCAAATGAAAGGACTAGAGAAAGGTCACAGCATTGACAGAAGCCCCAGTGTCCCTTAATTTGAACGTTCACATCATTAAAATACCCGTGAGGGGCCACTTAGAATAAGAAATGATTGTTATTTGCTTTGAGTACTATCCAAAACTAACAAGATTTGATATTAAGTTGTGGAATGATAGTGACTGGTATGATTAGAGAGTCTACGAAATTTGGTGTGGTAACAGCAGCATTCGACTCCAAGTTAGAGTTCTTTTCTAGTTGTAGCCCAAAACCAAAATAATCTAAACAAGTAATCAGAATAAGTGAAAAGGTGTCAAGGAGCGAACGCGAAATGATAATAAAAACAAGAAAAGAGCGGGAAACAGGAGGACAAAGTCACGATTGGATTTAGTTTTGCATCTGATTTGAGCAAATTGTCTGACAAATCAAAGAAGGAAATTAATCAAAATTAATGTGATCACGGACTACTCTCAATATACAATTGAAAATAAAACGTTTCCCACTAGAGTAGGACAAAGAGAAACTCTATATATTCATAAATTCATCTGCACAGCAGACTTGAATTTAATGGCCAGTGATTTCCTTTAAGGTTTATATTTCTAGCCCAGTGTCATATATAATGAGAGGCTAAATTCAGATAAGGTGCATAGTGTTGCGTTTTATTCGGTTTATAAGTGATATTAGTTTCTATGCACGATATTAGACTTGAGAGGAAAGACTTTCCAAAGAATTAGGTGTCACCTGGCCAGTGTTCATCGGAAGACCTTTGTTGTCAAATCCCAAAATCCTCCTCTTGTCAACTGGAACGAAACAGCAGTTTTCCAGCGATGAAAACAAGACATACTCAACCAAGAGACGCATTTGCTTAGTTTCATTCTGTTTTTATTTTTGATCACAGTATTTCTACATGTCTTCGGTTTATGAGTGATATTAGTTTCTATGCACGATATTAGACTTCAGAGAAAAGGCTTTCCAAAGAATTAGGTGTCACCTGTCCAGTGTTCATCGGAAGACCTTTGCTGTCAAATCCCAAAATCCTCCTCTTGTCACTAAGGTATGACTTAAAATAAAAGAGGCTACTCCCAGTTTCTCTGGGTACTTGTTTAAACAGAATTTCAGGATAAAGTTTTTTCACTTTATCCAAGTTTGTAAGACTGCGCAGAGATGTCGACAGAGTCTAGTGGGGAAAAAACACTCAATTAATTATCAAATCAGACAGAGTTATTAAGCTAGAAAGTCTCTTGGAAGCATTTGACTTCACAAATTGTATTCAGTAAGTAATTTCCAGCATCCATAAATGAATTTAAGCCGGTTATGTGTCAGCGTCCTACCATTTCCAAATGTGTCGAAAACTGAGAAAAACGAAATCATTTGGGCAGCTATGAACAGGAATTGAAGGTTCTAAACCGAGTGGATTTGGTGCTTGGATATTCATGAAACTTGAACAATTCTCCCCAGAGGATGGACTACCAAATGAGTGATCGGAGGGGAAGGAGGAAAGGGTGGAAGCGGGGGGGAGGATGGGGAAATGAGGGCTCCAAGCGATGCATGAATGCTTTGTTTGTTTGTTTTTTTTTTTTTTGGCTGGGTGGTTTTTTTTGTGTACACCTAGATTGAAATCTTTTTTGTTGTTGTTTTTCCTTAATCCATATTTTGACTTGTTTTACTCAGTAATTAGGTTGAACTTTCCCCACCCCCTCCCTCAAAGTTCCATCCCCGTGGGTGGTCATACCTTTACAAAGACGGTGTCATCTCCCTTGTTCACAGCCACTGCGGTTCCACCTGTGCTACTCTCCAAAATAACAATTTGCTCAACCGTTTGACCAACAAAGTCTAGAATACTATGTAACTTGAATTTAGCTGTAAAAAATAACGCAACTTAACATCAATGGAAAGGCAGTAAAATGATCGATTTGGATTTGCTTTGTTTTGTTTTGCTCTGCTTTTTTCGTGTTTTAGGCAAGACTAGTGGAAAGCGTTTCATGACATCACTCACATTTTTACAAAATCAGCGCCTTCTGTTTGGTCAGAGTATGAATTGGTATATCTTATGACAGGGTTTATATTCGAGAGGAACTAAAAAAAAACGATTGATAAGCGGAGGCAGATCCGGAATATTTCTTAAGAAGAGGTCTATCAGGAATGACGTAACTGATGGGTGACGTAAACAAATGTTTTGCAAAATTCTAGCTACATAAGAAAGCGACAGATCATCTCAGGAGGGGAGAAACTTCACACTGCGCCTCTAGACCCGGTCCTGGGGACGAGTTTGAAATTGCAAAGTTTGGACAATTGGTTAATACTGATTGGTTCCCAAGAACTGGAATTGTTCCAATAAAAACAATTTACAGAACGTAGATTTTCTGTTTCATAGAAAGGTGGAAACTCAAGAATGCACGGCATGAAGACCAAGCTTGTTGCAAGCCAATTCTTGGTACCTTTCCTCAAAGGGGCTAATTTGCAAATTGCATTAATAAAAACTATGAAGGGCGAAAAGTGTGAATATCAGGCCTGCCTGTTGATAGATTTCTGAAGAGATTGTAAAGTGAATCGTTATTCTTAGTAACGGTCATTGTTAGATTTGCCTCATCCGAAGACTGTTGCATTTGATTCACATTGAATTTTGGTTTTTTTGGTCATATATCTCGATCCTTTCGACAATAAAGCTTTGAACAAGTGGCCAAACTTGAATATATACTTACTTTTTGGATCTTTGCTTGTGGCATACGTAACAACAGATGTTCCATCAATTTTCAGGTAGTGACCCATGATAGGACCGTTGGGGGTGTTTGATTACATATCATAACAAAGTTGCCTTCCAGGAGCTATAAAAAACACACAAGCCATTTAGTTACAGTGGTTTAGGACCGTGTGATGTTTTCCATAAACCTCAAAAGAAAATGGTAAATCCGCAGGATACAAATAATTTACTAGGCTTCACGTTCTAAAAATCTTGAGCTCTCCTTTTCTCTATTTTTGTTTCCTTTTATGGACGTTTTATTTTTCCGGCTTGTTTTGCGTGACAAGGGTTGTGTATTATGATTGCATTTGACATTTTGCGCGGGAAATCGGCGCACAGCAGACCAAATTGACTCCCTTACGCATGCCCGACGTTTGACAGCCATGTTTCTGCCGTGTCGGAAAATTTTGAAGTGAGTAGTAGCTCGTCAGAAGATAAACACATAGCCGGCCCAGATGAAAAGGAAATAAAGTGAAGAACTCTCGAATCTCTGAAAAGTACTGTAAGATTTTAAGTTTACCGTTCCTCGTCTCTCAAGTTAAGGTGAACTAGTGCTTGGAAAATAATGCAAACTTGCTGCCTTCAAGGGAGGCTTTGCGACCTTTGTACTATTCTACGGAAATTCATGCATCCTTTGCTCATAAGAGAAACCTTATATGAAAAATAGGCATTTTTGTCCCGCTTCAGTTTACCGATAGTTTTCGGGTGGCTTTAGATTTTCAAATTGAGGTTAATCCAAGAAATTTGCGTGTTAACTTCAAACTCGATCCGCAGCTGTGGCAAAACTTAATTTGACTGTGTTTGATCTTTATTTCTTAGTAGTATTCTTATACACTTGTATCACCTTTAAGTTTTATATCTCCGTTGTTTTTATATGACTATGTCTTAGAGGCAGGAAATCTGTGAAATGTGTCAAAAACTTTCGAGTTATGCAAAGGTAGGTGAAACACTCCTCTCACAGCACAGAGGAAATCACCCATCAACATACGGGCCCTTACGATTTGAGAAGCTTAGTGGAGAAAGTTTCTCACTCACCTTTGCTGATCTGTCGTGTACATCGGGGTGTCCTGTGTGAAGTATATGGTCAGAAGTAGAATCATAATTGATATTTTGCG